ATAGGGTTTCACTCTCCAAGGGTGGAGAATGAAGTAGGCTAGCCGAATTAACCTAGGGACTAAGAATGGGATTTTGAGGCATAAAAATGCTCACTCAATATCATATAATCCAAAGTATTTACAAGGTGTGGTGCATTGGGTATTTATAGGAGTGGGAGGCATCTAGGGTTGCATTTGGAGAGTGCATGGCCAAAATTCACAAGCCAAATGCACACCAAATGAAATGCAAATTAACCCTAGATACAACTTGGTGGCCAAGGATGGAATCTTTGGGGTTAGGTAGGCTACATCTAGGTGCATGATAAGACCATGCAACATTTTCCCTCCACTTGGGCCTAAGCATTTCTAACACCAAAAATAGGTCCAATAGCCACAAAAAATACGTCTAGCTCTCCTAATAAAATACCCTAGCCCAAAATTAAACCCTATGATCTAAAGCACCCCATAATACAAGGGTAAAATGGGAAATACAAAAGAAAATAAATTCTAAGTCCTAAACACCCCAAAATACAAGGGTAAAATTGGCAAATAAAATAAACCCTATACTAATGAAGCTTAGGAGAGAATTAATACTCTATGATCATGAGGAGAGTGTCCCTTGGTGTGTGAACTCCCTCCTCCTCTTCAACTCTCCTAGCCATGGACCTAGTGATGGGGCCCACATGTGTCCTCAAGGATGGTCCTCCATCAGTATTTAACATCAATTCTTATCTCAATTTTTTTTGTACCATGGTATTGGTAAGAGTATCTACTGGCTTCACCAGAAGTCTCCCTCGAGACATTAATAGTATTAAGGTTATCCTTCCTAATGTCACTTGTTTATCAAACTCAAGACTTGAACTCAAAATCTTGAGATTTGAGAACCAACCGTAATACCAGTTGTTGACGAAGCTCAAAAGATGAAGACTTAGTTTAAAAGAGTGCAAATTGTATTGATGTGTATTTATGTTTTCTTAGGCATGTTTGCTTTGTGTATTGTAAGTAACTTAGTCATATATTTCTTATTAGATAGTGATTAATGATGAAAATAATTTTAAATTGGTTTTAAACTTGAAAAATCAAGAATTTGAGTTTATCACTCAAAATAATCGATTATCCACTTGTAATAATCGATTATTTACATTGGATTTTCTCATTTTTGAGGATATTCCTCATAGATCAAACAAGGGAATTCTAAATGTCGGTGCATCAAATAATTATTAACTTGTGAACAAAAATGAAACAAAAGTTAATACGAAGGAAGCAATTGTATTGTAATACTGAGAGAAATCACTTTAAATAAAATACAAATCTTAGCATTTTAAACCTTAATAGCAGCCACACGCTGAGCCTCAAGCTTGGGATCCTGGTGAATTATCTTCATTCGATTGCTAAACAGACCAGTTTTGGCATTGAGACTCTGCAAGCATTCAACTAAACAAAAACATTTAAATTTGCAACCTTAACAATATCTTTGCAACCTTCAATATCTATATATTCTCTTTCTTGGTTTATCACATCAATACAGCAGTAAACACAATGAAAGAGAAAATAGTGCATGGAATTTAAATCACTACACAGTTATAAGTTATAACTGCCCTCTATCCTACATATACAGATATACTTTTGCAGCTCAAGTCTCTTATCTAGAAGTAGCTTAATACCTCTGCATGAAAAGAAGTGTTCTTTTCGACCTAGCTCTCATTGTATGAGACCCAGAAAATTTCCATTTGATCCCATGCATGAATGTGTTTTTTGAGTGTGCATGGTATGTCTAAAATCTAAATATATCAAACAATGAAGGAAACAAGCTAATGGGCTCAACATCTGTGATTCATGTAAAACATATGCATCATAACATTTTGTTTCCAACACAAGCATATTTAGTAAGGTTAAGCAGCTAACTAACTTTTAATGAACGACTAATCTTTAATCCAACTTCTGGAGGTGGTGACTGGTAAATGCGCTTGGATTTTTTCTTCACCTCTAGCTTTATGTCTAATTTGTCAACTTCGTCATCTTCCTTCACTTTAAGAGGGGAACTGAAAAAGTAAAAAATAAAAAATAAAAATTAAGAAATATTCTAAAATAAAAAAATATATATATATAAAAAAAAACATGTTGCATAATTCAAAGATTTTCAAAGATTTAGATGCATAATAAACAAATTAAACTTTTACATTTATCAAGTATGTTAACAAAATATACCACCATCATATAGGAATTTTATCACATTAAGAAGCTCACAGATTTAACTGAGTCAATTATACAGTATGACAAGAATAAAAGCAATAAAAATAAAAACCATACAAATTATAGTTATTAATAAAAACCACGAGTGTTAGGATCCTTTCTTTGACAGAAAGGAACACCCAAGAAAACATAACAGAAAAAGGAGAAAACAGTGTTTCTGTATTAGCTAGAATCTGTAAACGTTTAACAATTGTACACAATTGTACTCAGGAGCCCTCTCCTTTCACACTGGAAATCCCAGTCGCCTAAAACATAACATTCTCCCCCCTACCTCTCCAGTTAGAGAATATTTATAGTAAAAAATCAGCAACTGTAACTAACCCCTTACACCTCTTGTGAAATACATTTATAACAGATTCCTAACTAACTAATTCACTCTTTTATTTTTCCTCCTATAGCAGACTTGTAGGGTCTGTTTTTGGGTTTGATTCTCGCGGCTAACAACGAGTGTTAGTTTGAATACCACAAACTAAAACTGATATATTACGACCAAAACTAATAACTTGACCAATTTCCTTCTGAAAAACATATACAACATTGATTACAGAAAGAATGTTTGACATTTTATATTGATAGATTATGATCATCTATTATCATAAAATGCTGCATCAAATTTCTAATTATTGCAGGGATGCAGAGTAACAATACCAGAGTATAGCAGTTCAACAGTATATTTTGTTATAACCGAAAGATCAAAAATAAAAGATTAAGGAAAAAAAACATCACACTTCTGGAAATAAAAGAAAATTATGATAAAGATTTTTAATATACAAACAGCCAGATGAGCAGATATTAAGGACTAAAAATTGATTTCTCTTTATAGATTGAAAAGGAATATTGTACATAACTGTTTGGTATTTTATGTACTACTTTTGCAAACAATATGATTTTTTGAAGAAGGGGAAAAACTAAGAAGCATGAACATTGACATGGAGAAGGATATTGTGACTCAAAAATTTAAGGTGTCATACTAGGATACATAATGTCATGCCACATCAAACAAGTGTCTGGTATGTGTTTGATACAAAGCATACAGTCCAACACAGAGACTGCTCCTTTTTTTATGTGTCTATGCTAGTGATGACTAAAGGTCAAGTGTTCAAATGTGTCTATTTTAACATGCACAAGCACATGACCATGTAATATCAAATTTGCCAAGCAGTTAACAAAAGATAGATCAGTAAAGAAAGGCAAAATTTTATTTCTCAAAAGTTACATGGAATGAGCCCTCTCCCATGGTTGTTCATCAATTGATTCCTCCCATATAACACAATCCCCAGAGCACTGGTGGCAAGTCAGTATACCCTGTTTACATGAAGATCGAATGGGAAAAAGGTAAACAAAGCAACTATTGTGCAAATTGCACTGATATGATGTTCAATATCTTAGTGTTTCACAATTGCTATGAATATCAGGAAAATAACAAGCAAAAATCTGTAAATAACAATATATAATTTCATAAACGCATAAGATGTAAATTTAACTAGTAATTTTTGTGTCCAATAAGTGTCTTGTCATCAAGGCATCAAGCTACGTTGAAGTATAAGGATTTGTTTAAATGTTAATATGCAAGCATATGCTTCATTTTTCCTTTTGATCAACTGTGCAATATTAGTCTTGCATGGCCCAAGGTAAATCTAAATGTTTCCTTTGTCACTGATTTGTGAGTACACAGAGAAAAGACATAAAAGCTCATGCGCTCCCATCCTCAATTGAATATCAATCAGAATTTTTTGTTCTAATCAGAAATGACTTAGTTCAAGCTGTCTTAGATGGAAGTATGATATGTATGACCAGCACATGTATAAAATCCTAATGATCCTAGCTTTTCAGAGGCAATTTGGGTATTGAATATTAATGGAATACATTATCCAAGTCATCAAACCCTCCTAAGACCAAGTTTTCTGCTTTACTCAGTAACCACTAAAATTCTAAAAGAAAGTACCTTTCCATAACATTTTGGACAGTCTGGCCTTGATCTTTCTATTCCACACTCGGTACAAGGAGTATAACCCCTTCCCCGGCAACTTGGACAAGGTAGCTCTCTGATATACTGTCCATTTGGTCCAAACCAGGACCTTGGTTCTGGTGAATGAGAATTAGCATTGCTGAAAGGAGAGAAAAAAAATTATTAAAGTCGCTCCACCAAGAGGCCTTTTCATAAAATATCAAATGTGTAGTAACCTAACCAACATTAAAATGTTGTATTTTTGTAATTGAAACAATGAATATTATGGTATGAAGATGATCAAATACTTCGCAATTAACCACACCACATAGCATAATCTTTCAATTGAGTATATCTAAATCCAAAAAAATAAAAAAGCACAATTCTTGCAGAATCTTGTATACTTCCTCTATTCTTATATATAAGACCCAATTACCTAATTCACCAAGATTATGAAAAGTTGTTAATTTAGTTGATACCAATAAATTTGTCATATTTATATAATGAGTAAATTACATTGACACCTCTTGAATTTCTACGAAATTGCACTAACACCCCTTGCTCTTTCAAGGTTTACAGTAACCTCCCTTATAAGAAGGTTAGTGTAATGTTTTTCAAATTATTAAGGTGGTTAAAGTAATATACAAAGAATGCTGGTGTAATATTTTTCAAACAATTAAGGAAGGTTACTATAAACCTTAAAAAAAGCAAGGGGTGTTAGTGCAATTTCGTAGAACTTTAGGGTGTGTCAGTGTAATTTACTTTTATAAAAAAAATTTCTAAAACTACCCTTGTGGTACTTCTCTTTCCTAATTAATATCCATATATTTTTTAACCAATTAGAATGCATGCCCTATACTATTTCTTTCTCCTAATTAATATTTATCTTTCTCCTAATCAATTAGAGTACATGCTCTTTAAAAAGTTTATAATTAATGTATTTTACCAAATTAAGAGAACACACTTTAATTAGAGGTATTTTAGTCTAAGAATAACTAATATATGAGACAATATGAATTAGGTCTTATATAAAAGAACAAACAATTGTTTTAAGTTAGGTCTTATAAATAAGAAAAAATGTAGTAATTCAAATGTTGTAAAAACTTCAATACCCCCTTGTTTTGCATAAAGATAGCTCTTGTTTACTCAAATCCCCAGACAGACCCAAAAGTATTACAAATTTTTCTATGCTGAGTGAACTGAACATGAGATGCAGGTAAACCTTAATAGACATCATATTTTAATTAAAATTATTGGAAAAAGCCCCAGTCCTATATCAACCAGAGATAAAGCAAACAAACAATTTGTAAGTAGGAGGTAAGTTAGGTGCATAACTCGCATTCTAAGATGTTATTAGAACTATCTTAGGTCCACTCTATAAAAGGGTCACTTACAATTCATACATGCACCAAACCCAACAGTGATGGAAATGAACCGGTGTAACCGGGAAAAACAAGTCTCACTTAAAAAGGGTCACCCCCTAACAACAGGTGAATAAGAAATACAATGCAATGCTGTAAAAAGTGTCAGAGAATACATTGCTAACATTTATAAACTTTTAGTAATTTATTTTCATGGCAATGTAAGAGAAAATTAATTAAAGTTAAAAAGTTGAGACCTTGGCTTGAGTTCCACCTCCAGCCCGAACAGTTCCTCTGGAGGATTGTAACCCAACTGTCACAAAAACATCATCACATTATCCAAGTATAAATTTTTAGAAGAAAAAAAATGCCAAGTTATGGCTTGTTTGTGTGAAAAACATGGAGAAACCAAAAAAAAAAATGTAAAATAAAATAAGAGAAAAAGAGTCTGTGCCTGGTTTGGTTTTGGGGTGGAAAAGGAATCGTCACTGAGTGATGAACAAAGGATGGTTGGTGAGGGGAAGAAGGAAGCGTTTGTGTTGGCATGCAGCAAAAGCAAGAGAGGCGTGTTTGGCAGCTTTGTGCATGGATAACCCAGAACGCGAAATGGTGAGCGGAACAAGTGAACTTTGTGTGAAATCATTAATAAAGAAGAAAGTTTTGTTGGGTATTGTTTAATTTGCTTATTCAAACTGCGTTCTTTTTTCCCCAGATGATGATAATCGCTCTCGTGTTTTTGAGTTTGTGTTTGAAACGTGCGGCTACAAAGACAGGGTGAGGTGGATGGATAAGTCGCATATGACCGTGAGTGCAACTGTATTGTACCATTGTCATTGTGAGAGACAAGGCACCTTTTGTTTGGTTTGAGGATTGGGAAGAAAAAAAGTAGTCTTACAATGTTTGATTAAGAGAAGAAAAAAGAGAGAGAAAATATTTGTGTCTTATACCAACTTAAAAATATGCATTAACTGAACCATTAGGTTCATCACAATGATAGAGTTAGACTAACATGTACATAATTTTAATATGAAATTTTATTGTTGTAATTTTTATTAACTAAAAATACAAATTAATTCATAATGAAAATACTTTATTATGAATTAAAATGAGATTTTTAAACTCAGTAGAATGAATATATCTATCATTAAATTTTTTGAAAATGAATTTAGAAATTTATTAATTTTTATACTGTTTTAAAAATTAAACCGATTATTAAACTAATTTAGACATTGATTTAAGATTTAATGGTATGATCATATTTAAATTGATATTAATAAAATAATAATAATAATTAATAATATATAAAATTATATTAAATAAATATAATATCTAATTTTATGACACTAAAAATTAAAATAAAATCTAATTTATAAATTTTTTACATTTAATGTATACATCAAAATTTAAATTATATATGATATAATATTTAAATTTAAATTTTAATGAAATATAATAATGTCTATCAGAAATAATAAATTTTTTATCAAATAAAAAAATATTAACTTAATATAATATAAATTATAAAACTTAAGAGATAAAAATATGCAAATTAATATAAATGATTAAATTATATTTTTTATAAGTAAAGTATTAAAAAATAATTTATTTTAATTTATAATTTTTATTAAATATAAATTTTTATTATTATTAAAATTATTTTAAATAAAGTTTAAAAAAACTAAGTTAAAAATATATATCTTATAAAGAGGACCGGTTGAAATTGATTTTGATTCTAGTTATCTGACCGATTCGACCAAATTTTTAGTAATTTAATTCAATTTTAAGACTATTCGATTATAATTTGTAATTGGATACTAATTCCTACTTCGGTCTCATTTTCAAAAATAGTGGTCTTATAACTATTTTCAATTCATTATTTGTTCCATTTTAAAAAACAAAAATCGTCACATTCATCTTATTTATTAACGTTATTAGAATCTAGAAGAATTAAGGAAGTGTGGATGGTTCTTTGCGAGTTCCACTATGTAAAATTTACAAATAAAATATGACAAATTTAAACATAAATAATATACTGATTGTGAATCTTCAAAGACATATTAAGACGTTTATGTCACTTAGTAAGATGAACGCGTCATATAAAATATGCATTAAATCTTTATCATATTTTTAATTATTGTTTTCTCTTGTTTATAATCACATTCTTTGAAAAACTTCACTTTTTTAGGTTAACTGTATAACAAATAAGTAAAAAAAAAAAAAAAGTGTAAAAGAATGTGAATTGTGGCCTCAAAGCATGTCACAAATTTAGCCTCTATGGTAGAAGTGACAATCACATATTGGTTTGCACTTGTTTATGACACCACTCCTCTAGCCAAAAGAAAAATGCATTGTGATACTCTTTACCTCGCATAACATAAGTCATAAAACAAATAAACTAAATGACAAGTTTTTCTTAAATAAGAACAACGTGTTCCACATAGAGAGTATTAGATTTTTACTAAAACAAATAACAACTGGAAATTGACTAAAATTACAATGGAAATAATGATTGTCTTAACATATAACATCATAAGAAAATTTCTAACTAAGCCTTAATGTCACATTCTATCAAAGCATAACCTATCAATAAGGATTAAGTCTCATCACCAATATCCTCAATATTATATTGAAGATCACCTACAACAAAAGCAAAAGAGCAACACAAAACAAGGGAAGTGAGAAACATCTCACTCTAACTTATGACATAGGCTATAGTCGAATAGGCAAACACACACAAGAGACAAAGCATAAGCGTAGTACTACACATACATGTTATAATTATCCATAATATAATAAGCCAACATAATAGATCATTCACATACACTCATGTAATGGACACAAACTACATTTAATCATCCATTTGACGCTAGTAAAAACATCACATGGTGCATTGCCTCAAGAAACACATGAAGTAACTTAGGAGTACATGTCGAGTCACACCCTCAACGCACTCTCACTAGGAGGACATACTACCAGGGTCTAGTCAGGACACCAAAGTCAAGTTTCACCCCATGCACACAATGGGTAAGATTGGGGCTTTCTAAACCCGACTGTTCCCAATGACTAATCTCCAAGCTTTTACATAAGGGGCTTCCTTGGTGTTGTTATACCCTTAAGAAAACCTTTTATGCATATGATACGTGTCAAACAAGACTCTATGCACTATCATATCATATTATCATATTACATTATCACATCATTTCACTATCAACTAATCTCAAATCATATATTCATCAACTATTCTCACATAGAAATTAACAATTCAACTATATCAATTAAATACTAACAATCAATAATACAAATAGGTTACATCACCACAATTCACATCCCAAAAATAGACATAACACAAACTGTAGCATAGTGCTTTGCGGCACGTATGCTACACTCAACGTTGGTCCACTAAAGAGCCTTGTTGCTCCCAAGTTGAACAACTCCCAACATGAAAAGGGTCAAGCCCAACAAAAACACCTCAAGAAAGCCCATGGAGCTCTTATTGCCAGTGAGGGTCATCTCACGCCTGATGTGAGTGACCCTGAGAGCAATCTCTATTCTTAGCCTCAATGATGCCCAATGAGCCAAAAGTGGTGTCCAAAGTCATATCTAAAAACATACATTTTGTTTGTGAACCAAAGTACCTGTTGGTCTCGGGTAGAACACGAATCTAGAAGGAAGATTGAATAGATTCTTAGACGGCTTCCAAATTGATTTTAGTAATCACCTTCTTTCTTTATTACCAAATTCTTTCTTTATTACCAAATTGCATATATCATACACAAATTGTCAAATTAGCAATTGATAATATTCAAGCAAACAATTTCTTGAAGTTCTTGAAATTCTTTTTATCAATTTAACAAGAATTATAACAAGATATGAAGGTTAAGAGAGAATTTGCATAGTGATCTATACTGGTTCAACCATACAAAGGCCTACATCCAGTTTCAGACTTAGCTCCTCGCTAAATCCAGTGATTCCACTATAATATTCTTTACAAACACCATGTACAAGCAATACTATAATCAAAATCTAAATCACATAATCTTGATCCCACAAGATTACACAAACACAAAATTCTTGCACCTCAAGAATCCACTTGAGAAAAACCTATCCTAAGATTTCTTTTAACTCTTTCTTGAGACACCCTATCTCAAAGAGTAACACAACAAAAAGTTCAAATAAAGATTAAAGATCGAAAAGAGTACACCTGAAATGTGTAGAATGATCTTGTTCAAAGATTAGCTCATAAACTTCTTGAAATCTTTCAAGAACTCATCTTTTTTAATCAATCTTTAACACTTGTATTCTTTCTGAAAAGTATGTCAAATTTTATTTTTTAAAAATGTTTTCTATAATATATTTGATCTCTCTTTTAAGATTTTGAAAAGAGTTATATTTATAGTGCAAAGAGAATTTCAGCATTTAAAAATTTCGTAACATATGTAATTTATTACCAATGCAAGTAATCTATTACCAGACTTTTAAAAACTGAAATCAGATTGATTCTAGAATAGAGGTAATCTATTACCAAGGATACTAATCGATTATCCCAAGCTTTAGCAAGCATAAAACTCAATTTTATGAAGAGGTAATCGATTACTAAGGAGGGTAAACATATTGCGTGAGCAGGATTCTTTCTTAGATTGTTCTTCTTCATCGTTTCCCAAGACCAAAATTTCTTCGTCTGGGAAGTCATTTTTTATTGCATGTCCTTCATTGGTCGATCCATCTGCTAGGTAGTCGGCCAAAACGCTACCTTTGATTGCTTTCTACGAAACATAGAGGATGTCATATTCTGATAACAGTACCTGCCACCTAGCAACCCTCCCACTGAGCATGGGCTTCTCAAGTAGATACTTGATGGGGTCCATTTTTGATACCAACTGGGTGGTATGCCTCAGCATATATTGTCTTAATCATTGCGCGACCCATACCAAAGCATAACAAGTCTTTTCCAAAAGCAAATATTGTGTTTTATAGTCTGTAAATTTCTTGCTCAAGTAATAGATAGCTCATTCTTGATTGTTGGTTTCACATTGCTGACCTAACATACATCCCATGGAGCCCTCTAACACTGTAAGATACAAAATCAGAGGTCTCCCTTCGATAGAGGGAATCAATATTAGTGGATTTGTCAAACATTGTTTGATCCTATCAAAGGCGAGTTGGCATTCCTCGTTCCACTCCATTGGTTGATTCTTTCGAAGTAGTTTGAAGATGGGAGTACATGTACCGATCAATTGGGATATGAAACGAGCTATATAATTCACCCTTCCAAGGAATCTTCTGACCTCCTTTTCCATCTTTGGAGGTGACATCTCTATGATGGCTTTGGCCTTTCCGAATCTACTTTTATCCCTTTTTCATTGACAATGAACCCAAGGAGTTTTCCTGATTGGACTCCGAAAGTACATTTAGCAAGGTTTAGCTTCATTTGGTACTTATGAAGTCGATTGAATAATTTTCCCAAATGAACGAGATGGAGTATCCATCTATAAACGAGAAAATTGTGTTTGTAGATGTATTATCCATGCGTACATCGATGTGTGGCAATGGGAAGTCATCTTTAGGACTGACTCGATTTAGGTCTTGATAGTCCACACAAACCCATACCTTCCCATTTTTCTTCAACACGGGCATTATATTCAAAAGTCATTCAGGATATCGAGATACAATCAAGAATCCACCATCCAATTGCTTTTGAATTTCTTCCTTTATCTTGAGGGACCATTCAGGTTTGACTCTTCAAAGATTTTGTTTCATGGGATGAATCCCATCCTTTATGGGCAGTTTTTGTTTGACAATTTCGGGGTCTAGTCTTAGCATGTTGTGGTAAGACCAAGCAAAAATGTTGACGTATTCT